CCCCAAAACCCCAAAACCCCAAAACCCCAAAACCCCTCATGAAATATAAAATATTGGTTCAAAGAAACTGTAAATATATTAAAATGGAAAGTAACTCACAAGTTTTGGAAAAGTACGCTCAAATTGTTTACCGGTCTAGATCCCTTAAAAGCTCATCATCCAGCTCCAGTCATAGCTCAACACAGGATGAAGATTACAAGCTGAAGGAGATCAGTAAGGAAACTCTTGCTGAGCTTAGCAACTTGAAAAGGAAATTCAGAAGTGATATTAATAGGCTGAGAAATAAAGTGCACTGTTTAGAGTAAATCAACAGGGCCGAGTGCATTCTCTAGTCCCTTGCAACATTAAGCATGGTGTCTTCGGGAAGTAAGCTGGAGAGGCCAGTTTTTAATTATGATATAAATATTGATACTATTCGTGTTGCTGGTATTCATGGTCTTCCTGGTGGAACTTAATAAAATTTATTTCTTCCATCATCATTTTATGCAATTTCTGGATTGACCAAGAGTTCCTTTTACTGGACGATGCCAGGAAAATTAGAATATTGTGATGTACTTTTAAGGGATTATGGGAGACTAGAAGGATATAAATTACCCAAATTTCTCCTCTGAAATAAGAAAATGTTATAGAATTAAGTGAATCCACCCATTTTAAGCAACCCATTGGTTTAAACTTATACCATCTGTATATTTATTTGAATTCATATTCTCACAAATAAGAAAAAGTATATCTCTTCCAAAAAGAAAGTTAAGAATCATTAATCAAGTTTGGTTAGATTTTTACACAATGGTTCACTTTGTTTTATAGTTGTCTTTTACTCACTTTCAACTAACTTTTACCATACTGAAATTATGAATGCTTGGTCAGAATTGTCGGCTTTAAGGTGTCACAGCTCCTAAACTCTCACTAACCATAAATTACAATGTTTGTTATCTTCTTAGTAGTTTTTGATGAATTATGTCAACATATAGCTAAACTCAAGACTTCAAAAATCAGAAAAATCGAACGATATACTATAATTCACTTAGCTGATAGACTTAGCAACTCGGCTGTCTGATCTCAAACTTTATCGCTAACCATACAGAAGGGTAGGAGAAGCCAGCTTCAACACAGTCCTCCTTCAAGACAGTCCTCCTTCAGCCCAGTCTTCCTTCAGCTCATTCTAAAGTGAGCATCACTTGACTTAAATGCTTCTACACCAGTATCCATAATCTTTTGGGGGTTTTCAGAAATTCAAAAAGAACGATAAAAATCGGAGCTCAAGAAATCTCAGGGTAGCAAATTTATTGTAAATCGAAATTACTAGTTTTTGGAGTAGAGAGGAAAGACTTTATGGGTGGATGCTTGGAGTGGAGGGATGGTTTAAAGTGTATGATGGGAGTTTATTCAGGAGAGAGATTGGTTTAGAGGTAATAGCGTAAAATGGGATGTAGGAGAGATCTGGTGATGCTTAAGAGGCGTTTTTTGAGTTTGGAAGCCTGGTTTAGGGTATGGTACTGTGAGAGTGGTGGAGTTTATAATAGTTGAATGGAGTTCTGGGTTGGTATTGTAGATAGGTCCTTTTAATATTGCTCAGATTCTTAAAACTAAAATACGAATACTCTTGTTTTGTATTCTCACAATATTACTAATTATTTCAATTTGTTGCAGATTAATGCATCAAAAATTCTTTTGAGGAAAGTTGCAATCGGGAATTCTAATGTTCCCAAAAAAGTCAACCAGGGCTTATCTTGCTTTAGCCTCTTCATACAGAGATAAGTGATCTATTAAAGTCTAGCTCCATCATGAAAATTGGTTAAGAGCTTCTTTGAAAAATACCAATCAGTATTTTAAGCGGGTTCATTTATAAATGAGAAAATTACCGTTTTTAAATTGTCAAATCTTGCATTTTATGGACGATGAGTCTGAACCATGCCCTATATCTCTCTTCTATCATCGGTTTTTACTAATAAGATTCATCAAAAGCCAGCTTATGAATCTGATCACAAAGAAAAATAAGTAGAAATTTTATTAAAAGAAGTGCTATCCTGAATATCTTGCCTGGTCATTCACTACATCCGAAATTTCAAAAACTAGGCAGCAACGAACAAAAGATTCTTTACTACACAAATCTAATTGTATTGACAATAAGGAAATTGTGAGAGAATTCCTCAGTGTGAGAGCTTTAGTTTACTCTTATCTTCCTTTGGGCTTATACTAACATTTGCTAAGAGATGATTAAGCTTTGTATAAAAATCTCCTTCAATTCGAGGAGTACAAAATGGGGTTTTGGGGTTTTGGGGTTTTGGGGTTTTGGGG